TGTTGCTGCATTTTATTATATTTTTAATTGTACTCAAGTTTTATTCATTTTTCTTGAAAATAAAGTAATTGATCAAAATTTCAAAATAAGCAAGAGAGAACAAAATATATTATGTATAATTTATATTAAATTATATTTTTTAAATGATTATTAATGTTGAACCCTCAATTGTGATTATATGTGAAATCTTGGGGATTCATATTTTTAAATATTAAGAAAGGAACTGAAAATAACCACTGTATACATACTTCAACTTGCTGCTGCAAAGCAGATGTCCCCAATAAACACCAACTAACAGTAACAACATCACTGTTATAATTTCATACTCAACAATATAACAGTTACATAGAACATGTTATACATACATTTAGACTATTGAAAATTGTAATATTGGTGTTACCGTTAGTTAGTTTTTTCTGGTTCGTTGCTTGAGAATTGAGGATCTTTTTTTTTTGCGATAAACATTCAGAGGAAGAATAATTGTCGTCATGGTAATATCTTTCGTGTAAATCTGAGGAAAGCTTTCATAAATCGCAGAATTGGTCTCAGCTTTCTCTTTCATTCTTAGTATGTGACCGAGAACAAATTGCTTACAGATGTTTGCTTACAGATGTGTCTCTTGCTTTTTCCTTTTTTTTTTTTGCTTTAGAAAGAAGAGCTTTTCCTCCAAAAAGGGAAAGATCCGTTCGACTTTCGAGTGCAGAAAGTGTAGCTAAAACAGACTGTGTTTATAGTTATGTCACGTCATAGAGATTCTGTTTATAAAATAATAAAACGAATCATTAAATTGAATCGCATCGCAGAAAGACTAGGAAATGTATGTTTATCAAAATAGGACTGACGAGATAAATTAAGGATATAGTGACTTAAATATGATTAAATCCCACATGTACGACGAACAGATAGTCAAACAAATATTATTATTACGACATGTGAATATTCTTAGAATAAGGAAACGCGTATTTTTCGCCTAATAATTGTTTGCCTTTCTTGCTTCTTGTTTTTTTTTTTGCTTGACGAGCAGTCGCCTGTACATTATTTCGTCATTTCTCGCTTCTGATTTATATAAAAATTTTAGGAGTGAAAGTGGATCTCGTCTACAATTTGCAAAAGGAATATAAAAAACGTCGTATCTAGAATGGACTGTACAAATTATGGACTCGATTCGTTCCTCGCGTACAACTCCTAGACCAGTTCTTATCGATTCTTATCAGTTCTTATAAGATCGTCTTATGCTGGTTTATGCTTCGGTCGTAATCTTAGTCTTAAAAATTGGCAACAAAGAATGCCATAAGATCGTCTATGCTTCCCCAATCTTAACCGTAATCTTAATCTTAGTCTCAAGAAAGTTCCTATCTTTTAACTTAAGTCCTTAAAATTAAGTCCTTAAGATTAGGACTAATTCTAAGACTAAGATTAAGATCGAAGCACAAACCAGACATTAAGTAATGTCGTAAGATACTACAACTCTCTGATTGTTTCAGAAAATCTTGAGAGATTGTACTTAAGATAGTCTTAAATATAAGAATCGACTACGAATATCGGTCTAGTCTTTAACACAATTCGTCTCGGCGCGGCGGCGCGGGACGAATATTTTCAATGATCACTACATGTCGACCGATGCAAAAGAAAACACTGAAAGTTTGCTTGTAATTTCCACCCTGCTCTCGCTGCGTTACGGGGAATTAATCGTTGAACAATAGCTCTCGATCTCGTTATCTTTCAAATGCATCACTCTTGTGAGAACGCAATTTAGCTAGAAAGCCGCCAGCTTATTTATCACTCTGACGTAGAGTCGTTTGCCAAAGCGAACGCAAGTCGCAAATGGGAAGAAAGGGCTTTCTACAATAAGTCATTACCCAAGTTTTTAATCTTAAGCTATAAGAAATTTACCAATCACAGTCAAATGTGAGAACTGGCTATGATTGGTCAATTTCTAACAATTTATGATTTAAAGCTTTGGTGATGGCTTATTGTAGAAAGCTCATAAAGCTTGTTCTACAACAGGGTTGTAAACTGTAAGCCTTAAGAAATTGACCAATCACAGTCGATTATTTTTCTCATATTCAACTGTGATTGCTCAATTTCTTACAGCTTATGAATACTGATTTCTCTTGTGATTGTAGAATAGGATAATTGACGTAAAGCAACGTGGCCGGATGATCCTGACCGTGTATCTAACGTCTGCAACGTGACGAGAGAACCACAAGCTCTCGCTTTATAGTAAGTGGTTGACAAAAAAAAGTCATGTCCCGACATGTAGGATGAAATTGTATCTTACTTTCGCGTCCGTGCGAAGGAAACTCCGCGGTCGCGCGGAATGATCTGAGGTAAGTCTCGGAGAAAAGCGCGCGCGGGTGAGACGTTTTGTGGCTGTTACGGTGATGTGATCGCGAGCTTCCGCTCGCCTATTAATTCGCTAATTAGCGCAAGTCCATACGCGGTGTCGAAGATCTCTTATACGATAATTAGTTCGGTCAGTTAACGAGTGGCCTCAAAAACTTTCACGTACTTTTGCCGCCGATACGCCCCCACGACATGTATATGGTAATTTAATGTAATTTGATATGTTTTTACATGTTTTTTTTTCTATTTATAGTAATTATGTATAAACTGGGACTCGCGAAGAACTCTGAGATTTTCTCTTTCTTTTTTAATCCTGTACATTACGCGAAAAACAACTTTCATCGCTTAGTATATATGAATATTTTTTATACTTATATTTTTTTTATTTTAAGTCCATCATTGCAATAGTATTAAAGTAAGACAGTTTTAGAAAGATTACATTTATTAAAATCTACTTTAATTACTGTACTAGGAAAAGAGCAGGTCTACCTTGCTCAGATGTTTGACATACTAATGCTCGAAGAAGCGAGTCGCGTGCAGCATGTAGCGAATATACTGGATAAGATTCGTTCGCATAAGCGAGCCTCGTGGAATGATTTTAGCGAACACAGACGATAAATATATCCACATGGCATGGACCCCGAGAAAGAGAAAGAGAAGGAACAGGGACTGAACTGAACTCGAGACTCCGAATCGAGTCTCTTGAGAGGGAAAGAAGGAATGGAATGTTTCTCTCACTTCTCTTTGCTTTCACAAGCCATGTTTCGATGATTTCTTTGACATGCTACGCGAACAACAGTAACATTGCACACATCAATTACCGACAATCATCTCACATTAGCGTTTCCTGCATTCTACGATCGTTCTTTAATTCTTCCATTTTTTTA